GATCGAAGGACGATTAGAAGCCCTGCACACTAGCAGGCAAAGACAAGAGACGTCTGAAGACGAATTAGACAATGGAGGCCAACGCTCCTAACTTGAACGTTGAAGAGCTAGCGGCTTACGCCACCACTAAGAGCCAGGCAGGAGTCCCGGACGAAGAGATCCTGCGTGAGATCACGCAGATGCTGAGAGAGGACGGATGGAAGGAAGCAGCGATTGGGCCAACGATCGAAGCAGTCGTTAAGCGATTATCAGTCGTAGGGGGGAAGGGCTCACTAAGGCAGGAGGGCTCACCGAAAGCTAATCAGAACGCCGTGGCCCAAGTAATGGAGCAGATGATGCAGCTGCTTAGCCTAATAGCTAGTCGCCTAGAGGCACTTGAGAGGAACCAAGCCGAAGGACGTTTGGAGTCATCCCCAAGAGTCGACACTCCTCTACTACCGCTAACAACAGTCGCCAAGCTAGCAGCCCGCAAGAATAAGTTTCCCGACCTAGAGCGTTTTAATCAGACACGTGATAACTACCTAGGTTGGAAATTTGAGTGCGAAGGGAAGCTAGAGTACGACTACGCTATGTTCCTAATGGAGGACGCAAAGGTCTAATACGTGCTTAGTTGAACGAAGGGCAAAGCAAACTAGGTCCTTCTTCCCTGGGTGCTTAAGAATAAGGAACGAACTACGGCCGGCCTATAGGAGCACATGGATACTCACTTCTAAGACGTGCACTAGCAGCAGCGTGCGCTAAACAAGCTTCGGCACTTAAAGCAAGGACGACGACCAATACGCGACTATGTCTTAGAGTTCAACCAGCTTCGCGTAGAGTCCTAATAGCAGTTTAGCCTAGCAGTAGCTTGTGAGATGTTTAGTAAGAGACTTAGAGAAGAGCTCTAAAAGCTAATGCTCTATACTCTAAAGAACAGAAGTCTAAAGGAATATATAGACAAGGCAATCAAGCTTTCCAATGACCTATACCAGATCTAGTTGCACGGGAGGAATCGAAGGAACGCGGCCTACAGTCATGCGCAAGCTCCCCCGAAGGTCGCTTAGTAAGATGCTAGTCTAGAAGCGATGGACTGGGAGCCCTCGAAGGCCAATCAGGCACGGGAAACGAAGGATAGACTAAGGCGGTCCCCACTAGACTGCTATAGCTGCGGCGAACTAGGCCACATCGCTAGAAACTGTCCAAACACCACTTAGGTTAAGAGAGCCGTTCCCCTAAGCGAAGGGCAGAGACGCCAGAAACAGATCGAATGCCCAGACGATAGCGACTCGGAAAAAGAGTAGCTCTGGGCTAGAGTCTCGGCCCAGAGCCTCTGAAGATGGATCGGCAGATACGTAGCGAATGGAATCAGTTTTAGCAAAAGCATATGCGTCCCCCACCAATCACCGTAGATCTTATCGTGAACAACGTAGCAAACACTGTCGCGCTTATAGACTGCGGATGCCTATGCTATGCACTAATTAGCAAGAGATTCGCTTACCGCCACCGTCTAGAGCGCTTTCAGATCCCCTCTTAGATAATTAAGGGAGTGAACGGCAAGCTGTTAGAGATTAGCGAGGTCGCCTAATTCTCGTTCAAGATGCATAGGTACGAAGAGACTGCTTATGCATACGTGATGAACTTGTCCTCTAGTAAGGACGTGTACCTTAGCAGGGGATAGATAGACCACCAGGACGTATCAGTATCTCCTGCTAAGAAGAGTATTTTTATCCACTTGAAGGGCATTTAAGTAAGGTCAACTAAAGGACGCCTATAAGGAGGAGTTAGCTAAGTTAACGCCGCAGCGTTTGCGGCCTTAGTTCGTAGGCATAAGAACGCTCTAAATAGCGTTCAGATCTTCGCCGCGTTAATTGCAGACATCGACAAGGCGCTACAACTAAAGAAGCCCGTAGATGTACGAGCGCTGCTACCAACACAGTACTAGGAGTTCTATGAGCTCTTCAACCCGAAGCAAGCAGAGAAGCTTCCACTGCACTGAGGGCCAGGGGTGGACCACAAGATCAAGCTAGAGCCAAAGGATGCTCAGCCACCATGGGGACCCCTCTATAGCATGTCGCGCGGAGAGCTCCTAGTCCTTAGAAAGGAACTCACATTACTTCTTAAGAAGGGATTTATCCGCGTAAGCAGCTCGCCAGCTACAGCGCTAGTATTGTTCGCCAAGAAACCTAGAGGAGGGCTCCAACTATGCATCGATTATCAAGCTCTAAACGCAATTACTAAGAAGGACCAGTACTCGCTACCCCTCATCCAAGAGACACTCAACAGCTTAAGCAAGGCCAAATGGTTCACAAAGTTAGACGTTATCGCAGCCTTCTACAAGATCCATGTCGCACTAGGCGATAAGTGGAAGACAGCCTTCTAAACAAGATTCGGACTGTTTGAGTGGCTAGTTACCCCCTTTAGCATGGCGAACTCCCTAAGTACTTTTCAACAATACATTAACTAGACCTTAAGAGAACACCTAGATGACTTCTGCTCAGCATACCTGGACGACGTACTAATCTACACCGATGGCGATCTGCGCCAGCACCGAGAGCACGTCCGAAAAGTGCTTAGCAAGCTGCAAGCCGCAGGGCTACAGGTGGACATTAAGAAGTGCGAGTTTGAAGTCAAGACAACTAAGTACCTTAGGTTCATTATCGAAGCAGGTAAAGGGATAAGCATGGATCTAGCCAAGGTAGCCGCAATCCGCGAGTGGGAGGCACCAAAGACAGTAAAGGGAGTAAGATCATTCTTAGGGTTCGCGAACTTCTACTAAAGGTTTATTAAGAACTTCGCGCAGCTAGCCGCACCCCTTACTAGGCTTACAAGTAACGTCCCCTTCTAATGGGGATCTAAAGAGTAGTCAGCCTTTGAGAAGCTAAAGGAGATCTTCGTTACAGAGCCCACGCTGGCGGCGTTCGACCCAGATCGGGAGACAGTGCTCGAGTGCGATTCGAGCGGCTACGCGGTGGGCGGGGTGCTATCACAGTACGACGATGATGGAGTCTTACGGCCTTGCGCGTTCTTCTCGCGGAAGAATAGCGCGCACGAGTGCAACTACAAGATCCACAACAAGGAGTTGCTCGCGGTAGTACAATGCCTTAAGGAATGGGATTCCAAGCTGCGTTTAGTTGAAAAGTTTAAGGTAATTACGGATCACAAGAACTTGGAGTACTTCATAAAACCTCGCATGCTGAACGAGCGCCAGGTGAGATGGTCGCTTCTACTTGGTAGGTACAACCTAGAGCTGCTGTATCGGCCAGGCAAGCAGAATGTGAGAGCCGACGCGCTCTCGAGAAGAGAACAAGACCTGCCTGCAGAGGCAGAAGACGAGCGCTTGCAGAAGCGTTTCGTGCAAATATTTAAGCCAACAAACTCCTATTAAGAGATAGCAGAAGAAGAACTAGAAGAGGAACTAGAAGAAGCCATTTTAGTAATGGCCACGAAAACACGAAGCTAACGGCGGGAAGAAGAGGCTATTGCCCTAGCTAAAGAAGAACTAGGCCAACTACCTCCTAGAGAACTAGACGAAGAAGCGTCGGAGCAGAACGAGTAGAGAAG